CCTCCAGGTTCCCAAGGCTGAAAATGGAATTCCACCTCCACAATTCCATGTGTCTGAGTTTCATAATTCCCAATGTAATTCCCCATGGATCATAAGCCATCACTTGCTGTGGCGACAGAAAGCCCGGAGCACCGCGACTTCTCTACAGACAGCCCTGAAAAGGGCTGGGCCAAAGAGCGTGTGAGCAGCTTTGAGCAGTCGAGTGATTCCAGCTTAGCTCAGCAGCAGTCGAGTGATTCCAGCTCAGCTCAGCAGCGGCGTGCAGGCAACACGGGAAGCAGGGACAAGAAAGCTGGTCCAGCGTTCCGCTAAGCACAAACCTTTATTCAGGCAGAGTTTTGGCGAAGGGAGCCAGCAACAGCTAATCTTCCGAACAGGGAAAAACCCCAAACCCGGGATATTTATAGGAGAGGAGAGGGGTGGGGGGAAGCCCGAGATACCTGTATCAGGGTGGGACAGCAGTGGGGAACACCAATGGGGCACAACAGTTTAGCATAACTAACTCAAAGAGCCCTGGGAGCGATACATTGTCTCTCTCTGAGTGAAAGGTGTCTTGCTTCCAGGAGAGAGCCAGGATCTCGGGCTCGGCAGCCTCCTCCGTACCCACAATCACCTCCAATTTTTCCTCTAGAATCACTGCTGACGTGCCTTCCTGTGGAAGTGTTTGACACATCGATGCAGAGTTCAGGGGCTTGTTTATGGCTTATCCTGACGAGCACAAAGGAAATCCAAACACCCAGAATTACAGGGAAATATGGATAAAGTTTAGAAATACTCCTCTTCCCTGCAACTCCCTGGCATTGACCTCCAACTTGTGACCCTTCACCTTTGACCCTGACCCTTGACCTTTTACTCTTAACCTCTGAATTTTGACCTTCTCTTAACCTCTGAATTTTGACCTTTGACTCTTGACTTCTGCTCTTTGAAGTTTGATTCCCTGATAATTGACCTTGGACCACACAACCTTGAAAAATTAACCCGTAACATTGGACCTTGGACCCTTTACTCTTGATCTTTGAACCCTGACCATTCACATATGACCCTTGAACTTTGAATCCCTGACTTTTCTCTTTAACCATTGACCCCTGATCACTGAGGTTTTGCCCTTGACCTCAGCCCTTTAATATTAAAGCACTGTATTTAAATAATTTTTTTTAACTTATATTTATAGTTATTTATATTTTATACATATTCTTATATATAATATAGATTATATTACAATAACATACATAATATTACTTATGTTTTGTGTGCATATTTATTTATGTCTATATTATAAATTTTCTATTGATATATGTATTTCTATTTCTAAATTTATAAATTTATTATGAATTTATATATTTCTCTTTATATTTTTCTATTTTATGGGTTTCTTTAAATTTCTATTTGTTTTTATTTTAAACTACGTAGATTCATTAACCTAACACATCAGAATGGCAAAAATATAAAGCATTAGTCAACACTGGTACGCAGTGCACACTAATCTCTATGGAACTTATACATATAAATTTCAATCTGTAGACTTTAATATGTGATTTATACATGTATTTTATATACTAATTTACACACAATTAATACATGTGGAAACCAAACCTATTTCTGTTACTGACAAATCAAAATCATAACACTAGAGGGCCAATACCTATAAAAAAGCCAGAACAACTCCACAGGTTTTTGGATTCTGCATCCAGCCCTCCCAGGGAATTTCCTGGCAGCTCGGGGTCCCCTCTGGGGAAGGGTACTCAGCACGAGCCCTCCCCATTCCCCGCTCACCTTGCTCCTCCAGCGCAGTGTGTGCCTCTCTGTGGCGGGGACCTCGGCGTGCCCCAAGGGACACGGGAGCCCCCCAGTCTCCACCCCGTTCCCCTCTGCCTTTGCTCCTCACCCCCAAAGAAGGCACAGAACAACTCCAACTGCTCTGGACAGCAGCACCTTGCTTTATTGGAAGCCCTTCTAGGTCTAGACCCCCTCCCAAAAAGGAGCTCTGCTGCAACAAGAAAGGAGGGCAGGTCCCAGAAATACCTTCCTGGAATTTTGACCCCTGACCTTTGACCCCTGACCTTTTGACCCCAGACCCATGACCTCCTGACCCCATGACCTTTGAAATGTGACCCCATGACCTTTGAAACCCTAACATTTTACATTTGAAACCTGACCTTTGACCTTTAACCGCCGTGACCTTTGACCTTTGGCTCTGTGAGCTTTGACTTTTGACCCAGTGACCTTCGATCCCATTACCTTTGACCTTTGACCCCATGACCTTGACCTTTGACATCTGACCTTTGACCCTTGCCTTTTGACCTTTTACCCCATGACCTTTGACCCTGTGACCCTGTGACCTTTGTCCCCGTGACTTTTGTCCCCGTGACATGGTGACCTTTGACCCATGACCTCTGACCTTTGACGCTGTGACCTTTGACATTTGACCCCGTGTCCCATGACTTTTTCGTGACCCCGTGACTTTTGACCTGTGATCTCATGACCTTTGACCCTGTGTCCTTTGATCCTGTGACCCTTGACCCAGTGACCTTTGACCAGTGACCTTTGACCCCTGACCTTTGATTCTTGATCTTTGACCCCTGACCTTTTGATCTCCTGACCTTTGATCACAACCTTTGACATCTGACCTTTTACCCCCTGACCTTTGACCCCCTGGCCTTATTCATAACACTAACCCTTGAAATGGTGGTGGTTGTGTTTTTCTGGTTCAGATATGGTGCTGTGCATTTATTTTTAGTTAAGTATGGTGGTGCATGTGTATTTCTGGTTCGATATGGTGGTCTGCAGATGCATGTTGGGTTGAATATGGTGATGTGCCTTTATTTGTGGTTAAAAATGGTTGTGCTCATGCATTTCTGGTCAAATGTGGTGCTGTACATTTGTGTGGTTTTCAGATGCTGTGCCATGATTGTTTTGGCGGCCACGTGTGGTGTGGCTTTTTTGGAGGGTTGTGTGGGTTGGTTAGTGGATGGTGTGGTGGTGTGCATGTTCTGGTGAGGTGTGGTTTATTTGGAGGGTTGTGCGGGTTGGTTAGTGGATGGTATGGTGCTGTGCATGTGCTGATGAGGTGTGGTTTATTTGGAGGGTTGTGTGGGTTGGTTAGTGGATGGTATGGTGCCGTGCATGTGCTGATGAGGTGTGATTTATTTGGATGGTTGTGTGGGTTGGTTAGTGGATGGTATGGCAGTGTGCATGTGCTGATGAGGTGTGGTGGATTAAGGTGGTTGCCGTGATGTATTTCTGGTCACTATCACAGTGCTGGTGACCAGGGTGCCCCCTCATGCTCTGCCTGCCAGATTGCTGGTGGTTGTGATTGATTGTGTGTTTGTGTGAGGGGTTTTTTATTGTGCTGCTGTCAGGGGGATGTGTGGGCAGTATTGTGCTTGTGTTCTTAAAGGGTTTTTTTCTTTTATTCATGAGTGACTTATTGGAAATTTTGGTAATATGATTTTGGTGAACATGGTGGCGGTGTTGCTGTCATTGGTGACATTGGGGGGTGGTGCTGGGGGGAAGAGCGGTGTGATGTCGTGGGCAGGGTGCTTGGGGCTGTGCTGTGGTGATGGGGGGGGTGGTGCTCGTGGGCAGGGTGGAGTGATGGAAGGTGGGGTGTGGACACAGGGCACTGTGCTCAAGGGAGGGGTGTCTGCTTGGTCATGGGGGGGGTGCAGAGGAGGGGGATGTGCTTGGGCGTGGGGTGCTGTGATGGGTGGTGGAACTGGTTGTGTAATTGGGGCATTAGGTGGTGGTAGAGCTTGGGTGGTTTTAATATGGGTGGGTTTGGGTGTCACAGTAGGTCAGTATGGATGTGCAGGGGTATTTAGGGTCTGTATATAGTATATATGAAAAGAATAAAAACTATAGAGCAGTAGAAGGTTTCAGCCTCCTGGGGAGTAAATAGTATTGATTTATAATTAAATTGTTTTTTTACTCCCCCAGAAACTGAAAGTTTCTACTGCTGCTTTTTTAAATTTAAAGCTAGAAAGGAAAACAAGAAATAAGAGAGGAAAAATACAGTTTATTTCTTTTCACTCAAACTTGGAGTTTGAGTGAAAAGACAAACTCTCTTTTCTCTCTAACTCAGAGTAAGAGGGAAAAGAAACAGAGTTAGAGTGCAAAGAAATAGAGGGACAGTGAAAAGAAACAAACTCAATTTCTTTTGAATTTGAAAGGAAGCAGAGGCAATTTCTGTTCACTGTAACTCTGAGGTACAGTAGAAAGAAATCAACCCAATTTCCTTTCTGTCTACCTTAGGGGTAAAGGGAAAGGAAGTAGAGTTGGAGCAAAAAGAAATCTCTCTAACTCTGAAAGGAAAGAGGGTTAGACTTGGAGAGAAAAAGAAACAAAAATGTGGTGAGCAACAGTAACACAGACTTAGAGAAAGTGACAGACATAAATAAAGTTAGAAAGAGATTGAAAAGCAAAGTGAGAAGAAAAGCAAGGAATAGAATGAAAATAATGACTCAACCACACCAAAAAACACAGGATGCAGGGGGCGGGAGGACAGAGGGATCATTTTTATTATAGTTTATTCAACTTTATTGAATGAATTTTTTATTTACACTACAGCAACACACATAGAAACTGGATACCAATGCAAACACAGATACAAATGCTATACAATCCAATCCATGCACACACTGAAAAACTAATTCATATCCAGAGTAATACAGCAGCAAATACAAAGACAGAACAATACAAGCCAAATCCATAATAACATAACCATTGATGTGTTTCTGAAAAGTTTAATACATTCTGTTTTATTATTACTGCTATCCCAAACCAGAAGGAGCACACAGAACACACAATACTCTTTCATCACAGAAGCCGGCTTCAGCTTGCACACAAAATCGCTGTCACTCTCCTCTCAGCTGCTCCATTATAAGCCTGCTGTCGGCATTCCTTGGGAACCTGGTTCCCAGGAGCCTCAAAATCACTCTGCCTGAGGAAAACCCCGGTCCGGGGCCAGTCCGTGCCCAAACTTTGGCAATGACTGTCGCCTCGTAGAGCGGCCAGGACCGAGGGAAAAAAAATCCCGCTGGGGGGAAAAAAAAAAACCTGGCTGGAGATTTTTTATTCTAAACTTAAAAATGAGTTTGAAGTGCTGAAAAGGAAAAATCATACACACACCATTAGAACCAGTCAACCCACACACTCACAGTCACACACAAGCAGACACAGACAGACTGACTCTCACAGACAGACACGCTCTCACCCCCAGCAGGAGACTCTAACTTACACAGTGCCCACAACCCTTATTTGAAACACCATGCTGAACAAAATACCCTGACATCTCTTCTGTCTGCTGCTTCTCAACATCAAATGGTGGATTCCCAGAAAATAGGCATCAGAGACCTGCAAGACAACACAAGGTAGTCATTGAGGGATTGCATGGGAGCTAGGACTCAGCCCCCCTCTGGGCCCACACATTTTCTACACAAAACCTCATACAAACAGAGGAACTCTAACATTTTATAACTGTTCTACCTAACTGTGACTATGTGCCAGGGCAGGGCAGCTCGAAGCCAACACAGTACAAGGCGAGCAAATACAGCACGGTACAAGGCGAGCAAATACAATGCAACACAGGTGATGGTTGCTGGGTGACCATGGCAATAGCTGCAGATGCAAAGGTCTGCTCCTCGCACGAAAAAATCCACGATGATGTCGAGAGGCTAATGTGGCTGACTACATGAAACATATGGCAACCAGGAGTGGCCTGGAACTGCCCTGGCTGGCAAAGGCTCTGGGGAGCTTGAGAAGAAACCCTCTCCCTTGACTTTAGAGAGGCCCATCCCACTACAGCTCTGTCCTCTAAACTAACTTGGAATTGCCTCCAGTGATTATAAAGGCTTTTCCCCTGCTCCCAGTCTCCAGCCATGACACTTATCTCTTGGTAGACGATCGGACAAAACTCATCCTCGACAGGATGTGGATGACGAGACATCCCCCATGCTAGCTTCGGTTCGGCCGGTTACGAACTTAGGTTCCGTGAAGAAATGCAGAGCTGAAGACAACAAAACAGAAAATGTAACTGTTGCCCTGACAAAGAATAATGCCCAGGACACCGTCGCACCGCTGCCCCGACTCACTTCAAATATTCATTCGACTCCAGAGACTTCCCAGAGGATACCTGCAAAATGAAAAGGTACATGCTTAGCATAGTACTGCATACCACTCAGCAATGAATTGCCCCACATAAATGCCAACGCACCTGCTCATCGGCATGCTTGGGGCAGCAGCAACACCTGCAAAGACAGAAAAGAAAAAAAGCACTCTGAGTTACTGACACAATCCAATATGTGGGATTGATGATGGGGTTCTTTTATTCTATCTTAAAGTACAAGAGGTTATCAGCAAAGCAGGGACTTCAACAGAAGAAAAATCAGTCAGTCCCACCTCTTGTACTCAAAGACACCTTGTAAAATTCTGAAGACAGAGCACTCAAACGAGCAAGGGGTTCTTTTCACCGAGGCGTGTGCAGTTTGTGAGAAATTCAAGTCACCTCCCTCGCTTTCTAGACACTTCTCACTGGCATGGCAGGGTAGCAGCGGATGAAGCGAAATGTTCTTCCCCTGATACTGACTGCATGACAAACCAGCAACCCCTTCTGTCTCTCAGAATCCTGTCTGTGATGCCAATTCGTGTCATGATCCGCAAGGTGGGATTCGTGATGTGGTTCTTTTATTTGATCTTAGATTACCAAGGATTATCAGCAAACCAGGGACTTAAAAGCAAAACACATTTAGAGCTTGCACCCACCTGTCCTCTGGCATCCTGGGCTGGGATATATTGCAAGTACACCACCTAAAATAAAACAACAAGGGATTACAGTTACACCAGAAACTGAGACCCCAGCAAGAACTGCTGCTTCTGTCTACTGGTCAATGCTCACCTTGCACCCACTTCACCTTCACTGCCGCTATCTGGCTTTACTTCCTAGAAATAAAGACAAAGAGCAGAGTTGTAACACAGTGACCAGTCCCAGCCCCGCTGCAAAGAAAAACCTTGACTGACCTTCTCAGGGTTCTCATCTGGGATGGGGCGCTCTGCCACGGGTTTAATCCATCCGCATCTGAAAGAAAGTTAGGAAAAAAAGTCAAAGTGCTGCAGGGTAACTTCACAGCTCCAGACACCTGCTGCCAACATAAGAATACCACCTAGACTCCAACTACACCCCGTATTACAGATTTCAAATTACAAGTGCCCAGGACTTGCCCTTAAACACCTACAACCAGACTGGGCAGAAGGCCAGAGCAGCTCCCGACCAAATACCCCCAGACACCTTTGACACACAAGACCAGAGACAAGGGGACACGACAGGGAAAGAAAACTCTGAGAAAAGAAAGTCCTCATGAGGACCAAGAAAAGGCTAAATGAGATGACCAAGGAGGGACTAAAGTCGAGCCTGCCATGCTTGTACAGCCCTCGAGGAAAAAGATGCTAATGGAACAACTGGTTGCAAGAACCGCAGAGATGGATGCCTGAGAATCCTGTGGTCAGAATCCTCTGCCTGCCTTTGAATTGGTACAAGTCCTTATCCACTCTAATGAAACACTGGTGCACAGAGCCATCAATACAGCTCAGAACAAGACCTAAAAAGACATCCGACTCCCACTTCTAAAGAGAGATGTGATTCTGATGCGTGTCTGGGCTCCCAAATTAAAGGTGTGACGGCATCAGCTCCGGGCCAAGGAAGGGGGAGATGCTAAGAGAGACAACGAGGTTTCCAATAAGCCCATAGAAGGGCTGAGGCAAGAGAAGAATGATATGGATGACAGGCACAGAAGGTACAACAGACAAGTGACACAACACATCCCGGAACTGCTCTGCCCTGCCTACCTTGGTATTGTGAGTCAAAGCGAGGCTTTCCCTCTATACAGCCTAAGGTGCCATTTCTTGAACCTCCCTATCCCCAAAGCTGACTCAAAGCCCCTAACCGGTGTGAATCCTAACCCACTGCCCTGCTTTGACCCCCTCTTGGATCATGGCCCTCGACTTATCTCTCCGATGCAAAGCCATGCAGGAGACAGATCGGGTGCTGAGGAAAGCTGCTGTGGGGGCAGTTCCCTTTTGCAACACAATGAATCTCCTGAGAGAATCTAAAGTACCATACTTGATGTGACCTAGAACTTCAGGAAACTGCAATCATCCTAAAAAAACCCCAAAAGAGAAGTCATTATAAAAGCATCTTATCACCACTGAACCCATAACCCAAAATCATGAACTTAAATACTCCCTGTATTGAATACTATTTTCTTCAAGGTGTCTTCAAAACCTCTGCTGCTTTAGATGCCCAAAAAGATACCTACTGACAGCAGGCTAAAGTAAATTGAAAGAGCCTCTTTGCTGAAATGAAAGACAAGCTCTTTACCCCAGCAAATTCCCTAGGAGGAAATAATGCTCCTTAGCACAGCCTGGGGTTAATATACCCCTAATTGGGCCCGCCTCTTTTTCCCACAATGCCTGGGAAAGGAGAGGTGGCAAATCCCACTGGGTATAAAAGCCCTCAGAGGGACTGTAGCTGTTTGGCTCCTCTGGGTTAAATTTGAGGTTAAGGGTTCCATGTAGAAGAAAACTCTTCAGGGGAAGGATCAGGTTTTCTTTTTTTGCTATGATGACTCAGAACGATGGAGCAAAAAAACAGTGAGAAGCAAATCTTTGTATTTGAGCATCATAGTGGCATAATTGCCTTATGGTGTTATAATAAATAACAATATATAAAATTCTAATTATATATAATATATATTATAATATATTTAATATATAATGTATGTATATATAATATATATATAATAACTATAATTGCATAATTATCCCTTAGTGATTACTAAGTAGCACTCTGCCTGTGATTTATAAAGGTGGAGAATAGTAGTGATAAGAATGGTGTCTCATAGAGACCTCTAATCAGGGCTCTCTACATTATAAATGAAAATAAGAAAAATAACAGGCTGCTGGGTGGCGTTAGCATTATGCATGTGCCGGGCTCGCTCCCGTTGGAAATACCGGGTGCTAGGGCATGGGTAGAAGTGCTCTGAAATGCAGCTTTAAACCCTTGAAATGCTGAAAAAGGTAGAGCTTCCTTTAAGCGAATCCCTTAAAATGAGGAAATGGGGCAGTTACCTCCACTTAAATTGATATGATGTCAAATGAATGGCTTCTCTCTTTTAATTTAATCCCCTAAAATACTGGGAAAAGAGGGGTTTTCATCACTTCATATCTCTCCAGTGATGGAAAAAGGGTTTTTTCCCCCTCTATTTAAACTATTAAAAAAGAGGGACAGCTGGGCTTCCCTCCCAATTTAAACCTTAGGATGATGAAAAGGCAAGGAGTTACCTATAATTAAAACCCATAAAAAAGCACTGTCAAGGTTTTCCCCTTCTATTTTGTCTAGAAAATAATGGAAAAATGGGAATTTCCTCTCAGTTAAGATCTCTAATAGCTGTGGGAATGATGGAGCGGGAGCTGCGGGCGGTACCCGCAGGGGCGGGGCCCCGGGACAGTCTCGGCACCGCGGGCTGCGGTTCCGCCCCTGCTCACCCCGTGTCCGCCCGGGCGCGTTCGGTGGTGCAGAACACGGCGGTCGCTCTCCTTCGCCCGCCCTGTTCCTGCCGTGCCGGGGATAGCTACGCTGGGAACGAGCTGTCCTGAGCCAGGGATGGGGGAATTCTATTGAGTCTCCCGATGTCCACTATCTACAGCTGTGCTGTCACCAAGTTAACTCGTTCTGATTTCAATCTGCGGCGGCCCCGAGGCGAGGAGGGGCGCCAAACCAATCCCGGTTATCTGTAAAACAGACCCATGCCGAGTCTTGGAGTTTGTGCAGGTGAGAGCAGGACTTGTACGCTCGCTGAACTGGCATGAGGGGGAGGCACAGAGTTTTTCCTGCCTGAATTCCTGTAGCTGTTGATCTCTGTTCCTTTGCAGCAATACCTCCTCCCTACGTGATAGCTGCCTCAGCTTGGACGAGTGTGAGAATATCCAGCTCTTCCTTAGGACTTGAGGCATGGCTGGGAGCAGAGTTCATGTCAAAGCTTGTTTAAACACTTCCAATATAAATCTATTTTAAAGCAGAAGCATTTGAGGAAATAACATACAGAAGTTTATTGCAAGCATACATATAAGCTGTCTTTATTTAAAGATCCGCATTGATGGGCATTTTGTGGAACCACTCTGAAGGCAGTGTTCAAAAAGCTTCATTAACCTCTTGTCTTCTGCTGTTTGGGCAGTGTCTGACCCCAGTGCTTGGGGGCTGTGTGGAGATCCCTGCCTGTAGTGGGGTCACCCCTTGAGGATGAGCCACAAAGATTCATTTGTTAGACTGGGTGAGTAACTATCTCTACTTAGTAATTGTTTTTGCTGGCTTTAATGCCACGGCTGCAGTGTTCCTGCAGATGTCGTGCCCTGCTCCCACAGTTAGGGCTCCTGTGCTGAGCAGGGAACACTTTTGGGGAAGGGCTTTCAGTCTCATTAGTTTTCATTTAAATTGATCAAGCCATATGTAAGTTCTGGCGGCCAAAATTTTACCACTTCACTCTGAATCATCCAGCATTGGCCGGAGGTTTGTGCAAGCTGGTGGCCTCTTCTACCCATCATTATTTCCCAAACAGAACTCAGCTAAGTAAAAGAGACACAGATAGTGCCTACAATTTCATGACATGAAGAAACAGCCTGTTACTGGAGTCCCAGACCTTTGCTTCCTTAGCCTCTGCAGTTCTGGCATGTGGAAAGCCCAGAAGCACTGAAGTATCCCGCTCAAGCAGCTGAATGTTATCAACCTCTCCAAAGCCTGATTTGCCTTTGATATAGACTTAATTGTTTGCGTCATCTACCAGGCTGGGAGAGGGCTATAAAAGGGACTGCAACCATTGTCTGAGGCAGAAGAGATACACCAGGAATAGCTCCTTCTCCCAGTGTTTCTCACTCAGCACTAGTATCAGCCTGTGCATCATGCAGCTGGTGGCCAGCCTGGTGTCTGTGCTGCTTTTGGTGTGGAGCGTGAGAGCCACGGCACTGCCCGGGGAGGAGAGACTGCCGAGCACCAGGGTGAGTACAACATGCTTTGGGTAGGAGCAGGATAGAGCCAAGGAAAGGAGGATAAGGGTAAGTAGGCTGTACCTGATGCATCTTTTCCACTCGTCTATATTCCAAAGCATTACAGCTTTGCGTGCTGCAAAACCTCAGCTGTTACTATGGCTTGCTGGACAGCTGATTTAAGAAAGGTACCAGGAGAGATGGAAAAAGTGAAGTCTGAGCTAAGTGAAAACTGGAAAAAAGGAGATTGGAGGGGAAAGGAGAAAACATTATTGAAGGGGTAGAGCATGAAAGAATAAAGCAAGCTACTAGAGAGGGAGAAGATACATAATTGGTAAAAATGATCAAGGGAGATGGTATTTTAAATAGGACTCATGGGAAGGACAAATGTTTAAAAGATGGACTCAGTAGAAAATTAATAGAGGAATAATAAATGAAGTAATTACATATAAATAAATTTGCGTTTTCTGGAGTGAAGAGGAGTTATACTGACATACCTCTGCTAGGATAATTATGCTCTCAACCAGCAGCATAGCTCTATGCAGCGGCAGAACTTACGGCAATATAATTATTGTACCAGCTGGCAAAACCCTAATATTATGATGTCTAGAATGCTATAGTAACTTTGTTTTGATGTGCTATTTCTCGAAGAGGCCAAAGGGGTAGGAAATCATAGCATAACCTAATCACAAGCCCCATTTTGCTTGCCCTTGCCCTGCAGTCCTCTCACCTGCATATTCCCTGCTACCCCTGATGTTCCTCTGAGCTCTGGTTAGGTGCCGAACATGGCTGTATCTGTAAGGCTGCTGTTATTCTTGAGAAATGAGGGATCCCCGTGGTGGTTTCACAGGCACTAACTTCTCCTTTGTGCATATCCATGTTGTTTTTCTCTGTCTTAGTGATGGCTCCAGCTCATCCATTGGCATGTTAGTACTTCAGGAGCGGGCTCACATCCCATTAACAACAAACTGGCCACAGGACAGAACCATATGCAGTGTGAGGAGCTGACATTCTGTTAGAGATCAGGGCTCCTGTGGCTGCCTGGGATTAACCCTTCTGGGTATAACTGGAAACTTTCATCTCTGCATCCTTACAATACAAATCCAGTACTTAAAATGTAAACACATTTTTCATAAAAAATAAATTCTTGGTGCAAATCCTAGCTGCTGGGGAAAAGAAACAAGTTACAGGGAATAAATTGATAAATAAGTCTTTGGTAAAAATTAATTCAAGTGTAATGGCTCTTGGTCTTTTACACACTTGCTTACAAAATCTTGATATGATTGAAGAGACTCATTATATCTATTATAGAACATTCTGCAAACTGAAAAACTCATGGATGCTGAGGAATGAATCCCAACAATTTGTCTGTTACACCAGTCACCACTGGTGTAACAGACAAATATTTTAAGTATGAAAAATGTCAGGATTTACAAAACAAACCACCATAAAATACATTGCAATGCAAAAGGCAGATCTGTTCACTCTGAGTCACTGATGGATGTAGCACAGGGAGTGAAGCAGCCGCCCAAAGGTTTGCCCTAACCCACTGTGCTGAGATCTCTCTGGTGCAAGAGAGTCTTGATCACTTTCAGAACAGCTCTAAGCAGAAAGGATATGAGCAGTGGATTAGTGTTGGGGGGAGGGCTGCTGGTTTTCACTGGCAGCCATAGTCAATCGTGCACAAGAAATATCCCCTAACATGTGCTGTGCCTTCCCCACCCCTGAGTCTGAAGATACAGTTTCTGCTTGGAACAGTTAATTTCCAAACAGCAGTTAAGCTGGGAAAGATGCTTCCAAGAAAGATGTGACCTAGGAGACACACGTAGCTGGGTTCCACAGTTCCAGTTCCCCTCCCAAAGGCTCAAGACATTTCTGTACTTGCAGCACAGGAGTAGGAATCGGGGTGAGCACAAACTGGTTTGCCTGTCTTTTCTTCTGCCAGAGATATAGTGTGGATTTTATTCTGTTCCTCCTGTTTCTTTTGTGTGATAAGAGGGGTAATTACTAGAGCTAAGAAAGTGATTTAAAATATCCATAAACCTTCTGTAAACTCAAGACAATTTCTGCTGCCTGTATTTATCCATCTTTTGAGTTGTTCACAAGGTGGTCCTTGGCAAATGCTGATGCTGACAAATCCAGCAGATAGATAAAGCAGCCTCAGAAGTATGTGTGGGGTGTTTGTGAGGAGTGGCATGGAAATTTGCTTCCAAGATTCCCGTCTGCATTGGAAATAGATGTTTGGCAGGAACAGATCTTGTCTCAGCTTGGCCAGTAGCAGCTGTCTCTGCTAATGAGTCACAGAGACCAGGTAATTCCTCAGATTTGTTGGATGAAAAATTAAAACAAACATGGTAGCTTATAGCTTGTACTGCCAGAATTCCCTCAAGCTCCAAACCACAAGCTCTGTTCTTCTGTGTGTTGCTACAGCAAAGGGATGGTGCTCAAAAGCTCTTTTTCCATCCCACCTTCCCCCAGGATCAGGCTATGGAATTAGAGGTTCTTCTACAGCTGCCTGTCTCCACTGATGCGACATTTTGTTTCAGATATTTGGGATATCCCTCTCCCCATGAACCCAGCCCTCTCCTTGTTGCATTTAATTCTCAGCATTTTACCGTGGGGTACAACCCCCACCATGAGCTTAATTTACTATTGCCCAGAACACTGTGCCTCTTCCCTGACCTTCCCAAGGTGGAGGCTGGGCAGCCAGAGCAGCAGAGGCAGCTTGGCATACACTGGAATTTAATTACTGCTGCAGTGAATGCCTTCACAGCAATTCAAGCTTATTTATTAGCAGCTCATTTCCAGCTCTAACGTGGCACATGAAGGTCCAACTGGTTGAGCTGGATTGGGATGGGAGACTGCAGTGGCCTCTGCAGCCACGGATCTCTCAGCTCTAGCATGGTTCTGCTGTCTCTTAGCTCTGAGATGCGGCAGTGGAATGAGAAGGGACCCCCGTGGGAGATGTTTGCATGCTTTGAATCTCAACAGCCATGGGGGACGAGCCTTCCATCCCTCACTTTCCCTGCTCTCTGCCCACAGGAACAGAGTACCCTCCGCAAGGATGTTGTCCTGAAGATGCTGGCAGGCCTGCTGGATGGCACAGATATGGGGCGTGAGGCAGCCTTCCCGGATATGGAGGAGGAGGGCAAGCTGGAGGAGGAGCAGGCACTGCTGGGGCGGCTTGCCCAGCTCTCACAGCGGGACCGCAAGGCGCCCTGCAAGAACTTCTTCTGGAAAACCTTCACCTCCTGCTAGTGCTGCCCAGCCTGGCCTTGCCAGCCTGCAAACACCTTCCCCACAGCTCATCTTCCTTGTCCACCTAGCTCCCTTTCTGTGCCCTGCACCCCTCAGAATAAAGTATATCGCCTCTCAGGGATGTGTCTGTGCCTCTCTGTGGGGCAGCCGTGCTGGGGGGTGACGGGACACACACATTTTCTGGAGCAGCCAGGAGGAGCTATGGCCATTTTGGTAAAGGGCTTTGCAGCTGTGAGAGAGCCATGTGGAGGGGCCACAGCTGTCTCTAAAGCTGCTGCAGCTGCCTTCTCAGCCTTTGAGGGACCACATGGGTGTGCAGTGAGGTGCTGGGCAGCTGGGGCTGTGCCTTGTGGGGAACGTTCTCAGTGTCAGCCCCTGGTCAGGATAAGGTGCCATGCCACAATGGGGAGAGGATGGTTTGATTCTGGACATGGGGGAGAGCAGCTCCCTGTGTTCCTTTCCATGCTGGCTTAGTGAAGCATCCAGGCAGTGCTGAGCAGATGTGGGGTGCAGGGGCAGCATATGGGGAGAGGCAGACATGCCCAGAGCTTGACCTACTTTTGGTTTGCTAGCAGGTGTTTCCAGAGAAGTTCCTAGGGTGCTTTTGGGCTGCATCCAAAACCAAAATAATTATATAAATGAGCTATAATTCTGGGTTCAGCAGCTGCGGCTCTGCTCTGGTTCACTCCTGGTTTCTTGGTGTCTTCTCAAACTGCTTTAACAAACCCAAAACCAAACCACCTGGGTTTTCTTACCTACCCTATTGGGTGCTGTTTGCCACCTGGAGAGTAGCAGGACATATAATTTTATTTCTTTGGGATTATTGAGGAGATTTTTGAACCTTATTTTTAGAACTGACAGGAAGTACAGAGCTATGGACAATAGGCATGTTTAAGTTCATAGGTATTTCCCTCTGAAGAAGGCTGTTGAGTCCTTGGTCTCTCATACTGGCAAAACAAAAAGGTATGAAATTCAGGTGCTTTAGATGCTTTAATTTTTATTACTAAGAAGTTGAATTTCAAAGCTGTATTACATTGCTGTGAAAGGCTGCACAAAATAGCAGGCTTCAACTGTAGATCACTGAGCCTGTCCGCAGACCTAAGGAGGACTGAAGGTAGCTATTTGTAATGGCTTAGTTTTGAGCCTTTACAATCCTTTATTCTGCTTTTGGAGGTCAGTGACCAGGAGGTCACTCATCTCAACAGCAGCATTTTGGATTAATCAGCAAGCCAACCTGTTTTGTGGCAGTTGAGGTAATGCTTTCCACTGTCCAGCTCTCTGAGTAATGAGTGACACCATGGCTCTGGCATCTCAATGGGCTGCCTGCTGCTTTGCTCTGTGTTGCAGTGTATTTTTTAGTGTGTCATTTGCCATAGAAATTTCTGGCCGTGTGTTTCTGGCTTGCAGGAGGAATTAGAGCCCTGTGGCTTGTTTTATTTTTGACTTCATAATGAAAAGTAAGATCCTTGCCAGGGGTACTCAGTGGCTCAATATACGGGTAACAGGATATGGAGCTTCCTGGCTGTGTTTCCTGAAGCCCCTAGCTAGTATGCAGAGGGCCTGGTTTTGTGCCTCACATTGCTGCTGGCATTTTCATTTCATTGCTACCTCCGTTTCACTGTGTTTAGAATGGGAGGAAAGTTCTTGCCACCCTTGTTTCTTAAGAAAAATTCTAAAGAGACAAGTGCTGTTTAACAGCTAAATATGGCCATTATTATCACTAGCACCTCTGTAGCAGCATGGGACCAACCAGGATGCAAACACCTTAAAAGTGCTGTCATAGGAACTGCCTTATTATCCACCATTGCATCTTGTCTGTGATCATAATGCTCAAGAAATCATATAGTGAAAACAAGAAACTCCTGAGTACATGGGCATAGCGACTGCCCCAGACAGAGCCTGCCTGTTCAGCAAGTTGTGAGCTGAATTATCTAGTGGCTCCCGCAGGAGAGAGGAATCTGGCTGCTCTCAAGGCTGGAAGTAAATTTGGAAGTTGAGTTGCTCTTTCATCCCCACTGATGGTTCCTGCTAACATAGGATAAATAATAGGCTGAGGCACTGGCTGAGCACCAAGGGGAAGTCTGAGTTGCCAGTGCACCTGCCGTGGACAGGGGCCAGCACCATGGGGACAGCTTCTTTTATCAGCTCTGAAATCACTGTTTGAGATGAATCTGACCGTGCACTTTCCTTGGTAAGTCAATTTGCTGAACAATGCAAGGCAGGATAAATCAGATCCAGTGTGAGCGGCTTATTTTCTATTTGAATTTTCACAAAAGCATTGTGGGATTTAAAATGGCATATGTCAAGTTAGAAGGGATCGAGAGACTGCTATGTCTTTTTTAGATGCAGTAGCCAATGAACTTCAGGATCTTGTCTCTGCTCAGAATAATGTGTCTGTGTACAAGAAAGAGCAAATAACCTTAAGTTATCTCTGGATTTTTTTAAATAGACACATTAAAAAGTAAAAAGTGTGCCAGAAGGCAAACTTTCAAAATCATCTAGCACAACGCTTTCCTCACCTAATCCAGTATGTAGTCCAATAGTAGTATTCACTTAATTTTTTTTCTTTTTTCTTTAACGATTTTAACCTCAAGCTACTTTATCACATTGCAGAAAAGTGAAGAAATTATCATGAGGATGAATTCAGCTGTGAATCCACAGCATATTGGTACCCAGGGGTAACCTGTGGGTGCATATTCAATCCCTTGACACATGGATAGTAGTCCAAAGTAGTTTACAAGAACAGAGTAGGTCTCATTTATTCTGAGATTAAAATATGTCCATATGTGGACAGATAGGATGGAGAAACTAGGGAGGTATTAATTTGAAAGTTAGTACTCTCCATGGTGATTTGTTTGTATAAGCTTTTGCATCGAAGATCTTTAATATGTTTTAATAGACTGTGTGTGTTTTCCGCTTCAGACAAAGGAGAGAGCTGCAATCTGACAAGACTTACAAAGCTCCTGTCTGTCTGCAGGTTGCCAGCAATGGAGTTAAATTTAGTGGGCACACAACACTACTGCCTGTCTGGTGGTCCTGTGCCTGTCGTTCTCGAGCGATATGTGGCCCGTGAGGCACCTTTGGCATTAATTACAGCTACAGAAAATTGAGGTTAAACCAGGTAATGCAGGGAGAATGAAGTATAAGGTTGCACAGGCTGTCTTTCGTCTTATGTTGTTATTATATTTGTGTCTGCTCAGAAACACTAAATGTGTGTTTGGAAGGCAATGAGTCCAATTACTTAAAAAGAAAATATTTCTTTAAGGCTGATGGCATATGACCAATTAGATACAAACTGGGAAAAGAGTAACCAGGTTTGCACTAAAGGGGAATTTTCTCTCTGCTCTTGAGTGAATTCTGCTGTTGCCCTTGCTCATTGATTTATGTAGTGGCTCACAGAATGTGTTCCTATGGGATGCTTGTTTTTGACAACATTCATCTAAGAAGTGGTTTAGATAACAACAAACTTGACAGCATCCCTGAGACACAGAAGCACTATTTTGTTTATCCTTCCTGGCAGTTTGGGCTAGATTTGCCTTAAGACTTGGGCTTGGTGGTGGGAGATGCTGATCTGAGAGGCATTGCTGTGTCTTGTTCTAACAATGGTGCTACTCAAGCCTCTGCCCATGGCTCTGCCAACCTGCTTGCCATACGGGGTTTTGTTGAATGAAAGAATATCATGAGTCAAGTAAGATATTTGTTCACTATTTGTTACTCTTTGTTCAGTGACCCTGTTCTCTGAGCTCTGTGAAGTTGGCTTTGAAGATTTAACTTCAGTTACTTCTCTTAGCTCTTATGCTCAGAAAACCTTTGGCAGCAGTAGCAGGCTTGTCGTGGTTTTAAACCACTAACTAAGAAAATTACTTACTTCTTGCTGTGAGATACGGATTAGAATAAGAGCAAAACAGGCATACAACTTAAAAGGGAAAAAAAAGAAAGTTTATTGACAAACCACAATAATAAGAACACCAGAATAAACTTCTAGAAAAACCTTTCCATCCCCTATCTACCCACTATTCCCTTGTTCACATGACAACAGAGACAAAAACTCTGGAACTCTGATGGTTAAAACAGTCCCAATTCTTGCTAGTCTTTTTACCAATCTTTATAGAGAAACAGAAGTTTCTTCCTGTTAATTTATGGAGTTTCTCACAAGAAAACTATTTTTGTTATAGTTTTCTATTGCCCTAATGTTAGCTGCTCAGAGCTGCTATTATTAGGGTTCACTCCTCCCATTTTCACATCACTCTGAAGTATGTATGGGCTATGCGTCTAGAGATAGCATTTTTAAGGATAAGTTATTCAAAGGCAAAAAAAAAGTCTTCTTCATCTGTTTCTGTGAGCTTCACCAGAAAACAGTTTTCTCATGGCCTCTCAGGGCTTCAAATCTCTCAACAGTTTTCTCATTGCCTCTCAAGGCTTTTAATCTCCCAGCACTTCACTATACTATAATTACTCTTTACTCAAATTTACACTTTGAACACTATTCCTCTCTAGATCCTATATCATGAATTAAAGGAGTTCTTTTCAGGACTTCATTGTCCATCTCCATAGTTTTAACAGGGAGATATTTCAGCTTAATTAAAGCATCTTCTTAATTCTCTACCTTTCCTGAAGCTTCTTTTCTTTCTTGTCACTAGTAGTTTATAAAGTCTCTTTTCATGTTGATCACTCTCCCTCTCTCTCTCTGGATAAAAAGATTAATCCGCAAGTCTCATCTGGGTAATGAAAGAGTTAACATCTTGCTCAGGCTTTTGTAGATGGTTCGGAGATCTCTGCCGAACAGGAGCTGGAGCCGTCTGCGATGGGAAGTTCCTCATGGCTGCTCTAGAGCGTGTAGTCACTGTTCTAACCCGCTACAAGTCCAGGGCCTCTCTCTTTCTTCACTGGGCAGTTTCTAGTGAATTAGTTACCGCAAAACCTGCAGCTGAGCCAGAGATCGGCTCGGCCCGGCCCGGGGAAAACCTTCCCCAGGCCCCCCCATCTCCCGGCCGGGAGACGGGGCAGGCCCGGCCCCATCCCCGCCCGGCCGCATGGCCTGGGCAGGGACGGGAGGCCTGGAGCTCCGCCACCCTCCACAGCCAGGAAACAAAGAGAACTCAGAGAGCTCTGCTTTT